GAGCTTTAGCCAACTTTCTTAAGATAGCCATGGCTACATTTTTCAATTCCAATGAGTAAAGTTCCAATGCTTCTCTACACGAAGAAGATGCAAGTTAAAAACTTAAGAGCAAAATAATTCACCCACGATGTTGTTTTATAACAAAGTCTCATGATCCTACATGACATAATTAATTATTAACTTTCTCTAGTTGACAGCAGCGTGAGTGAATTAGTGGACATCCACTTGTTTGATTACAAGTGATTATTATGTGTATTTCATTGTAACATAGTGTGTTTATGTTAGTTATATATGAAACCAGAAACCAGCACAAAGATGAATTCGAGAGAGGCAGAGATAGAGAGGACCTGAACGGAAGTGGGAGCTTAGGGAACAGATGGGGCTTTCTCAAATGGGGTGGTTGGGTTACAATGAAGAAGAGATCACCCCAATCAAGCTCTTGCTCCTCCGAGAAAACAAAAGCCTGCCCAAATCCTTCCATTTCTCCCATTTCTCCTGAGTGCTGCCAATATTTTTTCTTTTCTTCCATTGGAAGGTTAAACAAACCCTGAGCCCCTTTCTTTACATTCTCCAACATAGAAGAGCTCACTCCATGATTTACCAGCTGCAGTAATTTAATAAAATTGATAAATCACAATATTAAATAAAATAAGCCAATGAATTTAAAAAAAAAAGGGAAAATGATTTATATATTTTTAGTTCAACACATTTCACAACACATTTTGGAGAAAATTATTATTTTCAAATTCGAATTAAAAATGAGAAAACTTAAAAACTATAGATTTTAATTACTGAATTGGTGGGTATTAGTAGGTTTGTTAAATTGGAGGATGTATTAGTCATTTTCTTTCGAAAAAACAAATTTAAAAATAAAATTTTGAAAGATATTTAAAGTAACAAATTCAAAAAAGTGTTTTTGTAGTTTGAATTATGGAATACTAGCTATTGAATTAAGAGACTCCATGATATTGAGAAGGAAGAATAACCTGCTGAATTTGGTGCTCAAATCTATGCTTGTGTTTCTCTTTTCTATTTACCTAGCTTCAAAAAGTATTGCGAGGACCATTAATAAAATTTGGAGGGAGTTCCCTAGGGGTGGAGGTGAGGAAAATAGGAAAGTCCATTGAGTCAGGTGGGGATGGTTTGTAAAAGTGAAAAAGGGATTTGAGATGTTTCAACCTTTCTCTGTTAGGTAAGTGACCGGCAAAATTGGCCAAGGGTGATGAGTGTTTATGGGGTAAGTTAATTAAGGAAAAGTATGGGAATCATTGGATGTCATGGTTGAGGGAAGGTAGAGGGAGTGGTTTAAATTCGTGGCAAGACATTTTTAGATTAGAGTGTACTGGAAGAGAGAAAAAGAGGGTGGCTACTGGCTACCCAGTGGGTTCGAGCGGATGGTTGGAGATGGTTGGAGAGCTTAGTTTTTGGTGTGACGTGTGGTGCAGGGTAGGAATTCTAGCTAACATCTTCCGAGGCTCTACCTTCCATCTGCAGGTAAGAATAACTCCATAAAACAAATGGACACATAGCAAGAAGGTAAATGGTACTGGAGCTTGACATGGAGGCGGGCTTTGCTGTCTTGGGAAATACAAGACAAGGAGAAGTTGGACGAGCCACCGGGGAAGCTGCAGATTCAATATGGATCGACAAAAAGACAGTGGCTCTGGAGACGTAACAAAGATGGGTATTACTCTTCAAAATTTGGTTACTCTTTGTTGTTGTCTTCTCAGCACCTCACTCGTAGGCAGGTTTTTGGTAGAGTCTGGAACCATTACTTAACCTTGAACGTTTGTGGCCTTATTGGCAACTAATCTTAGACAAGATGCCTACCTAAACTAACTTGTTTAAAAGGGGAATAATCAAGGATGCTGCGGAGCTCATTTGTTGTTTTTTGCCATAGAACATGTAGCGGACAGTGGACATTTGTCTTTCCCGTCAAGGTAACCTCACAACTATGGGATGAATGTTGTGACTGGTGGGGAATACAGATTGTGTTGGATGGAAAACATTTGGGATGCTATTGTTAATCATGAGGGATCTTCAATTTCTAAAAAAGGGAGTATGAGTTGGGAAGCAATTTGGTTTGTGCTGGTTTGGACTGCGCATGGCTAATTAAGAATGAGAAATAATTCAATAGGAGGACGTAATCATTGAGAACATGTTGAATTTGTCCAAGTTTGATCTTTCCAATGGTTGTCTAACGAAGGGATTGCTTTAAGGAAGGTCTTCTCAGATTGGATCTTAAATCCTCATCTATGTTGGTAAGCAGTAGATAATTAGGAACTTCCCGTTTGAGGGTCTTGTTGCTGCTATATCCTATTGTATTATTGCCATGGGTTGAGTACCCTTGTACTCATAAATAAAATTTTGCTTTAAAAAAAAAAAGAAAAAGGAAAAAAAAAGAATTAATGTATTGGCAGATGTTTCCCAGAAACTATCCACAACTAACACTGAGTTTTCTGCTTGG